CCCCTCACAGTGATGTCACTAGCTTCCTTGAGTGCATTGTGTCTGACATTGCATCGCTGAGAGAAGCAGTCTCAGCTTGTATTATAAAGGCTGCATTCAGATACTATTGAGTCATTCTGGATAATAATGTGATATTAAGAAATACTTTTATATGTTATTAATTATTTTAGCATCTCTTTGAGTTGTAAAGTGAGTGTCCATCGTTGCTAAAGAAACCGTTTCCTGTTTTTATCACACTTGCTATAGGTGTCTCAAGCGCATTTTGTGTCGACCATAGGAAGATGAATAGCAAGAGCATCAGCAAACCGCAAACAGCTCAGCCAGTTTATCTTTAGCAAGCTGACCACACGTTAAACAAACCTGCAAAACATATGAGCAAATACAACATGCATTGCTTCTCTAGATCAGGGGTTCTCAACTGGCTTGGCCATGGGACTCACATTTTTACATGGTCATCAAGCCGCGACCCAAATTTTTAGGAACTATAATACAATTTTAGGAGTTATACTTAATTTGTATTTATTTGTTAATATAAACAAGTAGTGACAGATACATCATAGGAAATTTACAACACAATCTCATGGCAATTCGTAACTTTTTCATTTAGTGGCTAATTCCTATGAATTCGTACGATCTAATTCGTACAATTTAGTACGATTTGCTTATCCCCCAATGACGGTTGGGGTTAGGGGTGGGGTCAGGTGCCACGCCTCGTTTTAAAAATCGTACCATTTCGTACGACTGAATTCGTATGAATTCGTACGAATTAGCCACTAAACTGGCAAAACGTAAAATACTTACGTTTTCTCGTGAGATCAGGCTGGAAATTTACCAAGGCTTACAAATGAACACTATTTTATTGCTGTCATATGACAAAATGGATCAAATTATAGACATATTACAAAGTTAAAACAACAAATACCCTTAATAATAATCTCTTAATAAATATGTTGTCTGGTTTCTAAATGTTGTTTTAATATAGAAGGTTCCATGCTCTCTTATGAGAGCACCTCACTACATATGACACTTAGGCTTTAGGTCTTTTTTGTCGTCAATATATATATCCATACTTTACATATTCAGGGTCGTACTTGCGCTTCGACATATTTGTTGCAATAATTAAATGAAATTTCACATGTCAAATGGTAGGGTTGTCGCGCACACATTTCAAAATAAAAGTCCGGTATAAGCAAAATAAGTAAAAAATTAAACTTTTTTTTTTTATTTTATTTTTTTGACCACACACTCCGCGACCCACTGAAAATGTTCCCGCGACCCAGTTTTGGGTCGCCACCCACCAGTTGAGAAACACTTCTCTAGATCATGTAAAATCTAGTCTAAAATTAGTTGTTTAGTCATTAGTCAAACATATAACTACATCAAATATCATATATGAAATATATTTTAGGATTTCAAATAGGACTCACTTTCAACCTTTATCATATTCTTTGTCATATTTTGGGAATATTTACAGTAAGTATGTTGATTTACTCTTTTTATTGTTTTTAGCATAGGAAATAATCAACAACATAAACAAAACAAAAACTACATAAAAAAAATAAATAAATAAAAATAAAGGGGGGTTACAAAGGCCATTTCAAAATATACAAATAGTCAGACACAACATAATACAACATCATCCAGAAAGCATAAGGAAATAAATATAATTAAATATGAAACAAAAATAATTTACAGAGAAATGCATAGGCTCCACAATTCGACTTACTCCAGACCAATCTCACTTATAAAGAGTTACAAGTTAGCATTACTGATATAGAACATAATTGGGCTCCAGATTTTTACAAATGTGTTTAGTTTGTTTGTCATCCCATATCGCATTTCCTCCATGGGCAACACGAAACTTAAGCTTCTAACCCAAATTTCGAAAACAGGCACATAATCTGACTTCCAATTTTGTAAAATTATTTTCTTTGCTAATATCATACACAAAGATACTGCCTGTGATATATATTTATCTCCAATTTCTGAGGTGTCTCCGAAAATGCCCAATTTTGGATCTGGTGACAGACTTATCCCGTATACTTCAGATATAAAATTAAAAATGCTTTGCCAAAATGAACTGATTTTATGGCATGACCAGAATGAGTGAGCCAGTGTACCTTCAGAGTTTTTATACAGTAAGTATGTTTCAACTGTGTGCACTTTATTTAATCTGTTATTAATATGTTTAACTTTTACTCTGCCTTTTCTGTTCTGTCCCACTGTGGGCTTCCTGAACACGTCTATTTTCTGAGCTGAGAAGGGAGAATTGAGACCCTGAACCTTCACCTGGTTTCTGTGGTTTGAGCTGGCTGAAAATATCCTGATCATCACACAAATACAAAACCAACCAGTGTTCATGAAACACCATGAGAAGAAGAACAATCAAAGACTGTTTCCACTTTAAAACTCTTTTAATATTTTAATAAAAAACAAACAAACATAGTAAATTCATCTATAATACTGGGGATTAAAATCAAGAGTTGGTCTTCACTTTAACAGATGACCACATGAAGCCAGCAGAGCATTGTGGATAGACAGATAAAGCAGATCTGGTATTTATATAGTGAGTGTAATCAGTGTAAATGATCTGCTACTGTGCATATGTTGGTGTGCAGATTGAAATCAGCTGTAGCATGTAATTAGAGTCTGAATTGGCACAAAGCATGATGGGATGTGTAGTCCGGGTGACTATATATAGCTGGAATGCTCCCTAGTGAGTCTGGTTGGTACGCCAATGACTGTAACACTGTTCTGCTGGAAACTTTACCTTTGATATTCCAGCTATTGTACTTTTAATAAACAGTAAATGCTCTATTGGGTCAGTGTCTGTTTTGGGCCCTAAACACATGGACATCTCAGACTCCTTTAATATGAATTATTTCCTGACACACATTCTCTGAAGTGGAGATTCAGCCAAGGATGAAGATGATGATGATGATGGTGATGTTGGTGATGAAGATGCAGTTGTTTCTGAAGCATCTGCATTCAAAATAGCACAACAATAATCTTACACAGTGAACCAGACCTCTTTTCTTATGGTAAAAATAAGTGTTTTGACATCATTCACACATTCATGTTTGCTAATGCTCAGAAACTAAGCTGTGAGTTTCCAGAACTGAAGCCTGTGGTTTCACAGTGAATATTAATGTAGAGGTTTTAAAAGCATCCTCAACTGCTGCTTCTGAACTGAAGAAACATCACAGCCATATAAATACTGGATTTCTACTGCGTTCAATGACCACACTAGTAATGAAGTTAAAAAACTGTTGTAATGCTCTGTCCACGTGACCACATCAAGGCTGAAATAAAAACCAAATCATGACAGAAAGTTTAAACTATATTCACACATGACTGCAGCTTATACATATAGGCCGATATACTGTAGTCTCTGGATAATTAAACATTTAATTATGTTTAATTAACAGTATGCATACACTAGAATAACATTGGAGATTCAGATCAACAGTTAAAGCAGAACATCAGCACTTCTAGCACATCAACAAATGCAGGAATGACTGAAAGCGGCTCACCGTCTGTGACGACCAGATCAAACTCAGAGAAGAAGCTGTAGTAATCAGAGTGTCTGACTATAATCCTGTATCTTCCAGAATCCTGGACATTAAGTTCTCTGATAAACACACGTAGGAGACCTGCAGATCTGTTATCACGAATGGAGAATCGGCCGCTGTGTTCCCATTCTGCTCCTCCATAAATGCTTATCAGAGATAAACAATGATTTTCTCCAGTTTTACAGACATATTTCTGACAGTTCTTGTGTTGTTTGTCATATCTGTATTTTATAATGATGTTTCTTCCTGAATATCCTCTCACTTTCCCCATTTGTGGACCTGCTGAACACAGATTTTAACATTTAAAACTAAATGAATGCATATTCGGTCAATCCTTCACTATCAGCTCTGTATTGTACATTGATTTAAAACATTATAAACAATTGATTGGTCACTGATGAATCATTAATATTCTTAATTATGATTTAGTCATTTAGCAGACACTTTTGTCCAAAGTTTAAAGCTCTCAGTTATTTACCTGTTACAAGCTTCAGATTCACTTTAATGATGGGATCAGTTCCATACACTTCAACTCCACAGTGATAAGTCCCATAAATCTGTCGTGTCAGATTTCTGATGGTCACAGTGAAAACTGCTGCTGTTGTGTTGTCATACAGAGAGAACCTTCCAGACTGAACCCATTTATTTTCACTTTTAGTGTCAGTCTTGATAAGCTCAAAGCAGGATAACCCCTTTCCTTTACAAAAATACTTTGCATTTGTCTTATATTGTTCATCATATTTGCATGTGATGGTGACTCCGCCTCCTAAATATCCTGTCACACTGATGGAGCTCAACACACCTACAAAACAACATCTCAATAAGACACTAATATAGTTTTTTTTTTTATTTAATATTATAGTTATATTATACTAAATCGTTTTTAATATTAACATAATAGTTTTATTATGTTTAAAGGTAGTTTCACTATATTAGTTCATCTTAAACACATTTGGTCCTTATAATTATTTTCTTCAGTGGTGTGATTGTTGGATCAGGATGTGATCAGACTCTTACCAGGAATCATGAGCAGAGTGAAAGTCCAGATGATCTTCATTCTTCTCTCTTATTCACTGATCTTCTGTTATTAGTAGATTCAGCTCTCCTCAAACTCTCCTGTTCAGATCAGCTTTGACTCTTTCTTTCCTGGTTGAACATGAAGAGAAGAGCGTGACGGAGAGATGCTCATTTCCTCAGAGGGAGAGAGAGAGAGAGAGAGAGAGAGAGAGAGAGAGAGAGAGAGAGAGAGAAGGGATAGTGACATCTGATGGTCACAAATGCAAAGAGCAGGGTAAAACTATGTAAAGTGGACTTTTTAAAAATAGTTTGAATATGTGAAACTGGCTGAAAGGCAAACAGCTGAAACATTTGCAAAGGGTTAAAATAGTCTATAAGAATGGAAATGTTTACAATGTGAGTTCCAGGAATTGAATTTGACACCCATGATCTAAGTCAACAGCAAGAAATGCAAGTGGTCAAGCGTGTTGTTTAAAGTTTATATTCTGCTTAAATATACAGCTCAGTGTTCCACAACTTTTAATATTAGCACTTTTTACATGAAACTAACAATACAAAAGGTTCCACATAAGTATTATAAGTGTCATCTGAAGAATCAGACACTACACTATTAGTTAAGACACCCCAAAACACCCAAACCTAATGCCAGAGGCAAGGTGAAATAGCATCCCTCAGTTCATTCAAGTCTCTTCAAGCAGTGAGATGATGATTGACAGCAGCATATTCACAACACTCCTGATGATTCCTCAAACTGATGCTGTCAGGACAGTCTGATTTCTTGTGGAAATTCACCACTGAGTAATTCGCATCTTCAGCAGACGAGATGCAGATCTGAGAGTCACCAGAGGCTTCCTGAACGTTGGAGTAAATACAGAAATCAGAGGGGTTTGTGGGTAACTGAGCAGTGGCGTAAACAGTGCTAGAAGACTCAGAGGGGCTTCTGGGTAATTGCTTGTGAGTGTCTTTAATTTCCTTGTAATCACAACCAATATTAGAAACCTGAGGAGGAACAGAGACATGATTTAGAGCTCTGATGATCTTCAGGATGGAAAGTAATACACTTAATTCTCATTATGATCAGAAATAAAGGTTTCCTGCAGTGACAGTAACTCACCGCTTCAGTATTTCCATGTGCAGTCTGAGATGTGGAGTCACCACCTGCTGAAAACAAGTCTTTAATGACAGTATATCTCATTTCAACACTGATCTGTTGTGTGTAATGAAGTATCTGCATGTTCCTCATGTCTTGTCGCAGCCTTTAGGTGGCGATATAATCTAATCTGAGTTGTAAAATCTGTGAACAGAGAGTTTCTGCATCTGTAGGAGTGAAGCTGGAGGTTTACCTTTAGTCTGGTGCTTCTTATAGAGAAACAGTAATAAGAGAGCAGCGATGATCAGAAGCAGAAGAACCAGAACCAGAGGGATGATCAGAGAAGAGTCTGGAAACAGGAGATTTAATAATCAGAACCACTTTGAGCCAAATATCAGATGCATGATTTTATTCAGCACTTGAATACCTGTTATGGTGTTGAATTGTGATGTGACTATAGACCTCTCTGAAACAGTTGTGCTCAGTGGAGTTTGTAAAGTTGAAATGTATGATGATGATGATGGTGATGAGGATGATGATAATGATGATGATGGTGATGAAGATGTCGTTTTTGGAGCATCTAAAACAATAACACAGAATAATTAAAAAAGAAAGTCACAAGTGCTTGTGAGATTTAGGAACCGGTAAATAAGCACATACAGTTGAAGGCAAAATTGTTGGTTTGAATTCATTAGTTTCTGCCAACCCGACTCTACATCATAACTTTTCAATCCAGATGGATGGGGCAACCATTACTGCATCCAAAATGGTGAAAAGCCTTGGAGTAACGATTGATGACCAACTAAACTTCTCTGACCACATCTCTAGAACTGCTCGATCGTGCAGATTCGCACTCTATAACATCAGAAAGATCCGACCCTTCCTATCTGAACATGCAGCTCAACTCCTTGTTCAAGCTCTTGTTCTCTCCAGACTGGATTACTGCAACTCTCTACTAGCCGGGCTCCCAGCTAACTCTATCAAACCTCTTCATCTGCTTCAGAACGCAGCAGCATGAGTGGTCTTCAATGAACCTAAAAGAGCACATGTCACTCCGCTGCTCATCCGTTTGCACTGGCTGCCAATTGCTACTCGCATCAAATTCAAAGCTCTGATGTTTGCCTACAAAGTGACTTCTGGCTTTGCTCCTTCTTATCTGCTCTCACTCCTGCAGATGTATGTGTCCTCCAGAAACTTGCGTTCTGTGAATGAACGTCGCCTCGTGGTTCCATCCCAAAGAGGGAAGAAATCACTTTCCCGAACTCTCGCATTCAATCTGCCCAGTTGGTGGAATAAACTCCCTAACTGCATCAGAACGGCAGAGTCACTCGCTGTCTTCAAGAAACCACTAAAAACTCAACTATTTAGTCTCCACTTTCCTTCCTAATCTGCAATTGCCTCTCTGGCTCCACCGCTAATTGTAATACAAAAAATTAAAAACAAATAAATAAATTACTTGGGGGATAAATCTTTGCCACACATCCCTCCCCACACCAAAACCCATTGCTGGGCCTCTAAATTGTGGGCCCCTTAACTCTATCACATCTCCCCCAACACCACTTACTACACCTCTGATGACAGCACAAACTATTTTACTGGTTATTTTACAAGATAGGCGACGTGGTGGCACCGTAGGTAGCACGTTCACCTTACAGCAAGAAGGTCACTGGTTCCAGCCTCAGCTGGGTCAGTTGGCCTTTCTGTCTGGAGTTTGCATGTTCTCCCTGTGTTGGCATGGGTTTCCTCTGAGTGCTTCGGTTGCCCCGACAAGTCAAAAGACATGTGGTACAGGTCAATTGGGTAGGCTATAATGTCCGTAGTGTATGTGTGGGATTGAGAGTGTATGGGTGTTTGCCAGTGATGGGTTGCATCTGGAAGGGCATCCGCTGCTTGAAACATGTGCTGTATAAGTTGGCGGTTCATTCCACTGTGGTGACCCCAGATTAATAAAGGGAAGCTAAGCTGAAAAAAAAAAGAATTAATTTTACAAGACAGTAGTTTTCATGTTATAGTGTAATTAAAAGGGTTGACTAGAATGATTTGGTTAACTTGGCAAGTTTGTTGACATTGTCTCCTGACTCAAGTATTGTAATAATACTGTATCATGTGATTCCCACCTATATAAAATACCCCATAAATAAAAATGAGCTCATCCTTTAGTCTGCCTCATGTTGGTTTGAATCTTTCTGGGTTTCTTGCGTCTGTTGAACACAAAAGAAGATATTTTTTTGAGGAATTCTGGATTTAAGCATCCAGCATTCTTCAAATTATCTTTTCTTTGTGTTCAACTAAAGTCTAAGTAAGTACATGATGACAAAATCTAGATTTTTGGGTAAACTGTTGGTAAACTTAAGTAACACTGTGTGCACATGAACACACTGATGCTGAAACACTGCAGAAACCTCAAATCACCACAAAATCTGTCACAATGTGTCCTGTTCCTCTATTCACACTGCTGTAGACATGCTCAACAAAACTACAACTAGATATGTCATAAACTGTTGATCTACACCAGTGTTTCTCAATCCTGTACCTGAAGGCATACCTACATACAGTTTCAAGCTCTCCCTTATCAAACACACCTGCATCAACTCATCAGAACATTCCAAAAGCTGGAGTTGTGGGTCAGAATAGGGAGACATCCAAAATATGTACTGTTGGTGTACCTCCAGGAACAGGCTGGGGAAACACTGCTCTAGACCCAAAACATTGATCTATAACAGTATTTCCCAAATGGGACCCCTAGTGGTTCACAATGGAATAGCAGCTAAGGTTTAAATTATAAAAAATGAAAATTCATTCATTCATTCATTTTCTTTTCAGCTTAGTCCCTTTATTAATCAGAGATTGCCACAAGCGGAACGAACCGCCAACATATCCAGCATAAGTTTTACACAGCGAATAGCCTTCCAGCTGCAACCCATCACTTAGAAACACCCATTCACACACATACACTACTGACAATTTAGCTTACCCAATTCCCCTATAGCGCATGTGTTTGGACTGTGGGGGAAGCCCACGCCAACAGAGGGAGAACATGCAAACTCCACACAGAGATACCAACTGACCCAGCCAAGGCTCAAACCAGCAATCTTTTTTTGCTATGAGGCGACAGCACTACCCACTGCGCCACTGCGCCGCCCATAAAAATACATCCTTTAAAAAATATTTTATTTATTGACCAGCATGTGAACACAAACTAATATCAGAGAGTTGTGAATATGCTAATGTGTCTTTAAATTGCCAAATAAGTAACTAAATACTTTTTTGCTTAACAAAAAAAAAAAACATTTGTAAATCCCTGATTAAGAATAGCCATCTGCCAAACAGAGAAGTTAAAGAAAGAAGATACGAGAATAAAATAGGAAGTGGTGAGGTCACTTTCTCTTAGTTTTTGCTGTGTCAAAAGCACGGCACACTTCTACTCTAAAGATATTCCTGCATGTTAATATATAAGAATAGCTTAGTTCTTTGCTTAAATTTTGCACAATCAATCAGCATAATATACTGTGAAGCACACAGAGATCTGATATGATTAAAGGATTGTTTCACTTCCAGAATGTATTGTCATCCAACATGTTTATTTCTGTCTTCAGTTGATTGATGAAGGTTATAGTTTGGACCTTGTGTGAATATCTACCCATCATTTACCCAGGTAATACTCTTGTTTCTTGGCTAGAATGATTAAGCGCTCTTTGAAGCTACACTGAAACTGCATTTTGCAGGTTCAAACTTGTAAGCTCTATTGAAGTCTACTATATTGAAGAAAGGAAAAACCTTATTGTCTTTATGACTGAAGAAAGATATGAACATCTTCAATGACAAGCAGCTGCTGGAGATTCAGATCAACAGTTAAAGCAGATCTTCAGCACTTCAAGTGCAAATGCAGGAATGACTGAAAGCGGCTCACCGTCTGTGATGACCAGCTCAAACTCAGAGAAGAAGCTGTAGTCTTCAGAGTGTCTGACTTTAATCCTATATTCTCCAGAATCCTGGACATTCAGCTCTCTGATAAACACACGTAAGAGACCTGCAGATCTGTCATCATGAATGGAGAATCGACCACTGTCTTTCTTTTCTGCTGGTCTGCTGATGCTAATTAGAGTTTCACAAAGATATTCTCCAATTTTACAGACAGATTTCTCACGACTCTTGTGTTTTTCCTCATATGTGTAGTCTATAGTGATGCTTTCTCCTGAATGTCTTCTCACTGTCCCAACATTAGTGTTGACCTGATTCCCGAACTCTGTTGAACACAAACTTATATATAAGGAATAAACTAATTGAAGCCATTTTTGATTTAATCAATGGCTGCGTCTGAAACCGCATACATCCATACTATATAGTTCGCTAAAATCAGTATGCGCGCCGAGTAGTATGTCTGAATTCATAGAATTCGAAAATCAGTATGCGAGAACTACCAGGTTGGCTTGCTACTTCCGGCGAGATTCTGAAGTGCGCATCCCATGCACGCTGCGCTATCCCATGATGCTCAGTGAGAGAATTCATGAATGGAAGTGAGGCGACGCAACTGACTCAAGTAGGTCACGTGACCATGACAAAATGGCGGATGTAGTACGTCAGAATTCCAATCATAATTCTCAGATTCATACTGTATAGAACGCACTTTTCTTACGGCCGAGTAGTACTTTTAAATTCAAATGCAGTACCTGCTGAGTAGTAAGCGGTTTCGGACGCAGCCAATGACAAATTCCGCATGTCATTCTTTCACTAAGACTCTCAGGAGCATTAAATGTATAGAGGATTTGTACATTCATAACTTGTGAACACATATCTGCAGTTTAGTCTTGGCATCATTAATAAATTTAAGATTTTACACAAGTGTCCATATTAATAAATTACTATTTTATATTAAAAATATCAATATTCATATGCATTTAGAGCTGTCATTTTATGAGGTATTTATAACAACTCTAGTCTGTGTTGAGTTTGGTGATGTTGTGGATCTTCATCAGTTTGAGGCTCTCAGTTACTCACCTGTTATGACCTTCAGATTCACTTTAGTGCCATGATCAAATGCAAATCTTTTAATTCCACAGTGATAAATGCCAGAATCCTGTTTTCTCAGATTTCTGATGGTCACAGTGAAAACTGCTGCTGTTGTGTCATCAAACAGAGAGAATCTTCCAGACCTAATCCAGTGATGTTTCATTTCAGTCCTGATTTGGTCTTCGCACTCTGACCACTTTCCTTTACAAAAATATTTCTCATTTGTCTCATATTCTTCATCATATTTGCATGTGATGGTGACTCCTGAGTATCCGGTCACACTGATGGAGCTCAATACACCTACAACAAAACAATGTCTCATTACAACACTAATACAGTAATTTAAACTCATCTTCAATTGTGTTTTCACCATATTAGTTTACTATAAAGTCATTTGTTCATAGTTTAATCTGTGTTTTGTTCTTCAGTGATGTGATTGTTGGATCAGGAGTTGATCAGACTCTTACCAGGAATCATGAGCAGAGTGAAAGTCCAGATGATCTTCATTTTTCTCTCTTATTCACTGATCTTCTGTTAGTAGATTCAGCTCTCCTTAAACTCTCCTGTTCAGATCAGCTTTGATTCTTTCTTTCCGGGTTGAACATGAAGAGATGAACATGAGAGAGAGATGCTCATTTCCTCTGAGAGTGACAAAAAGAGAGACCGAAAAAGAGGAACTGTAACTATTTCTTCATACAGGCAGAGGTATGAAAGCTGTACATGTTAATACTGTAGTTCCCAGAGCCTTGAAGGAGCCCATGATGAAGTCTGAAAGCCGTGAACACAATTAAATCAAAAGAGACCCAAAGCAGAAACCTGTTCATGAGGTCCAGATCCACTACTGACAGCCATGCATGCAGATAAACTCATGAATACCTTATTTTACAGAGGTTTTCCACAGAAGCATTGCACTTTCCATAGGCTCAGTTTAATGTTTTTCCAAATTCAGAATATTTGATGTTTCTAACTAATTAAAGTGTTGACCAGTTTCTTTTGTCTGTCCCTCCCTCTGAACATCAGGATTTCTCCATCATTGGATGCTTTTAAATCTAATTTAAAGACTTATTTTTATTTCCTTGTCTATAAGTGTTGTTTCTTATCTGTATTTTAGTATTACTGTAAACATTTCCTTTACTTATATTTTTAAATACCATTTTTTTATGATTTTATTCTATAAAGCACTTTGAATCAACTACGGCTGTATAAAATGTTGCTTTATAAATAAAGTTTGTCTTGCCTAATATGTTTTTTTTTTCAGTTCGTCATATTTATTTCCCAGATGATGACGGAGGTCAAACAGCAGTGATTCTCATTGTACATGTAAATGCATACCTGTCAACTTACCTGTTTTGTCAGAGATTCTCCTGTATTTCTCCATTCTATCCTGCTGTCCTCCTGTTTAAAATATTCCCATATTTCTTCCATGTTTACTTTTCTTTTAAAGGGAGCAGCAACATCAACACAGAGCTGATCCTCAGTATGCACATAGCACCTCCATACCACCAGGGGGTGTCATTGCTCTTTAATGTGATATAATGACCAGAGCTGTTCTAGAAATTTGGGCTTTTATTTATTTATTTTTTATTTTGACTAATGATTATATTGAATTGATTATAAAATTAAGCGTATTCCCTTTTTTCCTTAAATGTCATGCGTTGTCTCCCTTTCTATTTGAAATTTCGAAGAGGAGTGAACATGGACACTTTGGGATTTGGGTGTATGTTTAAATAGACAATGTTTCTGGGTGTCTATCCCCTATTATTCACATTTAAATGTTGACAGGTATGTAAATGTGCAGTGCTGAAGAATTGAGCACACTCACCATTAACTGTGCTGATCCACTAATAAACTGTATTATGATGAGTATTGTTGTTTATTTGTGACCTCATTTTTATTTTTATGCAATATTAATAGCCCACTCTGAAAAGAGCACTTACTATGTCTATTTTAGTAGTAAATAAGTTAGTAAATCAATATTTATTGATACGTTGAGATTTGTCTATAAATTATGGATGGATTATTAAATCAATCTAAAGTCAACTCAACACTGGTTGAAGCAGTTTGAGACAGGACTGACTGATTATTGGGAAACAGCAGCAGTGTTGAAAACTAGTTTGAAAATGGTATTTTGTTTGTTTATAATGCCTATAATGCATTTAAAATACACTTTCAAATGTCAAAATAAATGTACTTTTAAGTAAATCTAGACTCTGGAGGGTTAATAAAAGCAGTCATTTTATTTTAAATTTGCTTTTTCACATTCAATCTCGATTCAGAACAGATTTACAGAATAGTCATGTTCACAGCTAAAGACTTAAATACAACACTGACAAGCCATGGACAACAAAAATAAAATGTTCAATCATCAATTAGAACAAACATCCTGATTTGCAGGAAACTTTTCTTCAGAAATTCCAGCCAATGTACTTGTAATATATCCACTCTGTTTACATAATATGTGTGTCATTTGGGGCTCCATGTCTGTTTTGGGTTCTGAAGCTGAACATCTCAGACTCTTAATGTGAATCATTTTCTAACACACATTCTCTGCAGTGGAGATTCCACCAGTGAAGAAGATGAAGATGGTGGTGATGAAGATGAAGAGGATGGTGAAGAGGGTGATGAAGATGGTCGTGGTGAAGTTGATTCTAAAACAAAACAATACATTTACAGAGAAAACTAAAAAACACAATATTTATGGTGAAACTAAGTGCTACTGGCGTCAGTCACACATTCATCACCCAGAACTCATGTTTGCTGTTTAAAAAAAGCTGAGCTTTCTGTGTGTTTTCAGAACTGAAGCCTGAGGTTTCACAGTGAATATATTATTGTAGAGTTACTGGATGACCATCTTTATCTGCAGCTTCTGAACTGAAGGAACAACTCACAGCTGCACTCAAAACTGCAAATGACCACACTAGTAATACAGTTAAAGATCTGTAGTGATACTCTGCCCACATGACCACACCAATGCTAAAATAAAAACAATAGAGAGAAACCAAATGATGACTGAAAGTTTAAACTATATTCACACATGACTGTAGCTTATACATGCACATAGGCCAAGACCCTCTCTTGAGCAGTGATACATGACTGGACCAAATCTGGCTTTCAGACAAGGGCCAAACACATATCTGGGCCAAGTCTCAGCCAAGTTAATAACTCATAACTGGGCCTGAACTGGGCCAGATAGGTTGGTGTGTCACGATTGCAATGAAATTGATAAACCCATGGAGTGATGCGCTTTAGGCACACTATGGGCACGCTTTTTCTCAGTGACCTGATTGGTAGATTTTTTTTTCTTTACTCAAAAATGATTTTAGTGTATTTTAAATGTGGGTCAAGACTGGCCAAACTCACATGGCCCACTTATCAAATTTTTAAATCTGGGCCAAATACTTTGTTTTTCATCTGGCCCAAATCTTGTGTGCCGCCTTAAAGACGGTGCAACCTCTGCCAAACCCGGGCCATGTTTTGCCTACATGCTGTATGCCAGTGCCGGATGAATGCCTGCTGTGTCAGCTTTATGCCAAATCTGGGCCAGAATTATTTGCTGCTAGGGAATTCAGTGGATGGGGAGGATTTGGAGGCCATGACCAATGGAGGTATGGACCAATGGAGGGATATTGGCCAAGAGACCAGGGTTACACCTCAGCTCTTTTGAGCCATGGGGTTTTTAATGACCAAAGAGAGTCCGGACTTCAATTTAGGGTGCTTTCACCTGTGAATTGATTCATTTGTTCCGAAACAGGGATTAAAATTGTTACATTGTTGCTCTTAGTTCTTGGTGCGGTTCGCTTTCACGCGGTAAAGTTTCTAAACAGACCAAAAGTAAACTTTCCTCACATTGGTCAGAGTTTCACGGTTTATTTTGCAGTCCCGCTCAGCTGTCAGGGGTGGGATGGTGGTGGTGTTTGACAGGGTGCACGCAATGTGTCTAAAGAGCAAGGAGGGATGCGGTGGGGAGGGGTGAGAAGAGTGTGCAACGTATTTGAGGACTGGAGGGAGACGCAAGATTATCCGGGAGATTAACACTCGTTTGCTGGCATCCGGGAGTCTCCCACAAATGCACATGAGGCTTGGGATGTCTGGAATGACTTCCCACCTACTCACAATTCTCTCTTCATATAGCCCTATACCTATTACATATCCATAAAACATTGCGATATAACTGGGCTCGGATCGTATCGCTTTCTCACTACAATTGATCCACTCCAGAGTTCGTTTCAATCAAGTCGAGACCACCTCATTCAGGCGATCTCAGACTGATTGTTTTGGTGCTGATTCAAGTGTGATTGCTGGATTTACATATGCCAAATGAACAGTGCTACCTGGGTAAAAGTCTAGGTGTGAAACCACCCTAAGTGTCTCATTTGTAAGGCGGTGCTCACTGACATTATAGTGTCCCCTTCACTATACTGGGGCATCAGGACACACAGACCCCCTGCTAGGCCTCACTTACACCACTTCCAACAGCAACCTAGTTTCCCCATGTAATCTCCCATTCAACTCCCAACAAGGACCTGATTAGCTTTAGTGAGTAACCAGTCTTGGGCTGCGGGGGATATTGCTGTGACAGTCTCTAGAGATTAGTCTCCTCTTTTGAGAATTAAACAGGACTGAAAGTGGTTTCTGGATTTGCTTTGTCAAACACACAGAATACTTCTTGGACATTAGAATAACCCTGAATCTGAACCCCTAAGAGCCGTATGATTCTTTAGATATTGAGTCAAGCAGCACATCAGATATGATTAATATCACTGAGAATCTGACCTGCATCAGTGAAGTGGATGAAGACTCCTGTGATGAAGCTCTTGTGTCCTGCAGACTGAACTCCACACCAGTATTCAGCTGAATGTTCTGGACTCTCATGACTGATGGTGGCTGTCAGGAGCTGCTCTTCTCTGTCATCATACAGCTGGATCTTTCCCTCAGCTTTTCTTCCTCCGCTCTCCTCCTCAGACCGCGTCTCTTCAGCACAGAGATCGGCTCCAGATCTCCTGCAGATGAACTTGACATCAGCGGTGTGGGATTGTGGGTATCTGCAGCTGATGTTGACGGATCCTCCTGCAGCAGCTGATAGACTGATGCTCTTCTGACAGCAAGCAGCTGCTGGAGATTCAGATCAACAGTTAAAGCAGATCTTCAGCACTTCTAGCACATCAACAAATGCAACAAATATTTGGACCTGACAGATCATTTCTTATGATATGCTCAATCAACACATTTGGTCACTTTGCTCCGGCATTTTGTGGGTAAATCTTAGGAGGAAAAACAAAGACTGTGTATCTGTTTGGCCTCCTTTAATAAGTTACATGTGCAAATCATGGTAATACAGTGTTGAGTTTGGTGATGTTGTGGATCTTCATGAGTGTGAGGCTCTCAGTCACTAACCTGTTATAACTTTCAGATTCACTTCAGTTGCAGAATCTACTTTTCCATATATATCAGTTCCACAGTAATACATGTCAGAATCCTCTTCTGTCAGATCTCTGATGGTCACAGTGAAGACTGCTGCCGTTGTGTCGTCATACAGAGAGAATCTTCCAGACTGAACCCATGTATCTTTAGTCCCAGTCCTGATTCGATCTGTGCACTCTGACCACTGTCCTTTACAAAAATACTTCACATATGTTTCGTATCCTTCATCATATTTGCATGTGATGGTGACTCCGCCTCCTGAATATCCCGTCACACTAATGGAGCTCATCACACCTACAATAAACAAGCATCTTAACATAACACTATTATATTAAGAGTTACTTTAAGGCTCATTTCAGCATATTAGTACATGTTAAAGCCATTTGCTTGTTGTTTAATCTGTGTTTTGTTCTTCAGTGATGTGATTGTTGGATCAGGAGTTGATCAGACTCTTACCAGGAATCATGAGCAGAGTAAAAGTCCAGATGATCTTCATTCTTCTCTCTTATTTACTGATCTTGGTAGATTCATTAGTAGATTTAACTCTTTCCAAGCTTCCGTCTTAAGATCAGGGTTGACTTTATTTCCTGGTTGAACATAAATGTGAGAAATGCTCACTTCCTCTAAGGGTGTGTGTGTGTGAGTGTGAGAGATTGTAGAAGTAGGCGTCACATTCAACCTTATACTTAATAGAATGAATGAATCAAAGTTCCCAGAACCTACCAGACATTTTGTCCAGAATATAACAATGCAAATGCATACCCAACACGGGTGGATTGTTTTAATTGCTCCATTCATCTATTATCAACTGCTTATCCAGAGCTAGGTTATAAAGACAGCAGCCTCAACAGGGAATCCTAGACTTTTCTCTACCAAGACACTTAATCCAGGGGGTCCCAAGGTGTTCCCAGGCAAGCCATGAAACCGTACAACCAGTGTATCCTGGTTCTTTCATGGGGTCACCTCCTGGTGAGAACACCTCTGCAGGCTTAGAAGGCATTCAAAAAAAGGTGATCAAGCCTGTCATGTTTAGCGTGATCAAAACAATAGCAAAAAATGGGAACAAAAGATAGCAGATTCAAGTGCAGAATTTCATGATATATCGTGCAGAAAACAGTGACAAAAATCCAAAAATATCAAAGACCAAAGTAACAAACAAACAAACAAAACAAGAAACTAAGACAGGTTAACACGAACTAGACTGTAGCAAAATACAAGAACAAGAAACTCGGTATGCAAGACTTACTAGGACTGGAGACAAGGAAGACAAACGACATGATGATCAACAGTGGTGGAATGATAGAATATATCAACCCAAGCTCATTCTGGAAACGTAGCCCCGTGGACGTTTCTGGAGACCACGATTTACGTGGCCGAAGGTACGTAAAGGCCGCGTTTGGTTTTTTTCGAGCGGACGCTGTGGGGCGGTGTGGCGCTGCTCCGCCCCTCCTCTTCGCGCTCGCCGGCCGACGGCTCGCCTCCGAGTGGAGGGCTTTCCCGACGCAATCAGTTTGTCCGCCTAGCTCACAGCGTTGCGCCGGCGGAGCGGAGGACCCGAAGCAGGAGGAGGTGGAAGAGCCGGAGCCGGCCGCGGTGGATGACGACCGGGATCGAGTCCGGGGAACGGCGGGTTCCGGAAGTCAGGTAAGACGAAAAACGGAATCCGCGTTCGAAATCGAGGACGAGGGCTTTTTTTTTTTTTTTTTTTTCGATCCGGCGGCTATTCGCGCGAGAATGGCACGGGCGCGAACGCCGGCGCCCGTCCGAGACGCGAAAAAGCGCGCACAGCGGCCTCTCGCGGATCCGCGAAAACAAAAAACCGCTCGAATACGTACCTCCCGGGACGTAAATCGCGGTTCGCAGAAACGTCTGCGGGGCTACCTTTCCACAATGAGCCCGGGTTGGAATATATAGTCCAGATAATCAACGGTAAAACAGATACAGCTGTGATGGCAGATCAGTGTATGTGTTCCGGTGTATGCGCGTTGTAAGTATGGAGTTGTAGTCTCTTTGGGACGCTGTAGTTCCTTCTGAGTCCTGTTGAACTACAGCGCCCTCAGGTGGTCACTGACTATCGTGACAAAGCCACCTCAACTGGCATTTCTGGCTTAACAGAACTGGTGACAGAGTGCTGTCTTGCTAGAGTGTATCATTTACCAGGAACAAGTCTGACTTACTGTGAGCCACGCAAACTAAACTCCTGCTCTGGTTGTACAGGGACCATTTAAAGTGCATCTCATTCCCCATACTCTCAGAGTATCCCCCACCAAATCCAGAAAATTGTGGTAGTCAAGCGTGCACCTCTTTTACCCCGATGCCTTTCACTGTGGAGCTGGCAGACTACCTCAATAACTTTAGCTTGTGTGCTGGCCGAGTCAACCCTTTAGTCCTTCACCTCTGATCATTCAATGAAACATGTCAGAGGGATTCATGCCATGGCATATAATCCCTCAAATGTGCACTTCGGAATCTCACCGGAAGTAGTAGGTGTCACATAATGTTTTTTTTTTCGAATTTTCTGAATTCAGATATACTACTCGGCTCACATACTTTTTTAGCATACTATATAGTATAGAAGTATGCGATTTTGGACGCAGCCTATGTTTTAAATGCAGCATTAAATAGTTAACACAAGTAATTTACAAGAAAAGCAATTAACACAAGAACATGGAAACTTAATGCCAAAAACAAGATAACAAAAAAAAACTCTGTTCATTCAAGTCTCTTCAAGCAGTAAAATTATGATTGACAGCAGCATATTCACTGCACTCTTGACTATTCCTCAAGTCTGGTGTCTTATGGAAATTCACCACTGAGTAATTCAGACCCTCAGCAGATGAGATGCAGATCTGAGAGTCACCAGAGGCTTCCTGAACTGTTGAGTAAAGACAGGAATCAGAGGGGTTATTGGGTAATTGAGCAGTGGCGTAAACAGAGCTAAAAGACTCAGAGGGGTTTGTGGGTAACTGAGCAGTGGCGTAAACAGCACTAGAAGACTCAGAGGGTTTTGTGGGTAATTCAGCAGTGGAGTAAACAGCACTAGAAGACTCAGAGGGGTTTGTGGGTAATTGTTTGTGAGTGTCTTTAATCTCCTCATAATCACAAGCAGTGTGAGAAACCTGAGGAGAAACAGATAAATGATTTAGAGCTCTGATGATCTTCAGGGTGAAAGGCTTTACTATTATCAATAGAATAAACATTTTATAGATTAGCAGTAACTGACCACTGCAGTGTTCCCTGGTCCAGTTTGAGAATCACCGCCTGCCAAAAACAAGTCTTGAATTAATGTCATTTCATCAAATTTCCACACTGATTTCTGTTTTCACTGATACTTCTGTTGACACATGTCTTATTGCACTCTTTGCAGCCTCTTTATAAATGGAGAGTTTACAAATCGGGCTGCACGATGACGCAGTGGGTAGCACATTCGCCTCACAGCAAGATAGTCACTGGTTCGAGCCTTGGCTGGGTCAGTTGGTGTTTCTGTGTGGAGTTTGCATGTTCTCCTCGTGTTGGCGTGGGTTTCCTCCGGGTGCTCCGGTCCAAACACATGTGCTATAGGGGAATAGGGTAGGCTAAATTGTCCGTAGTGTATGTATGTGAATGAGTGTGTATGGATGTTTCCCATTGATAATTTGCAGCTGGAAGGGCATCAGTTGCTTAAACAAATGCTGGATAAGTAGGTGGTTCATTCTGTTGTGACAACCCCAGATTAATAAAGGGACTAATCTGAAGGAAAATGAATGAATGAGTTTACAAATCTGTAGGTTTTCAGGAGTTTTACCTTTGGTCTGGTGCTTCTTATAGAGAAACAGTAATAAGAGAGCAGCGATGATCAGAAGCAGAACAACCAGAACCAGAGGGATGATCAGAGAAGAGCCTGGAAACACAGGAGATTAAATAATCACATAATCTAATGTGATCAATCAATTTTAGATCAGATGATAAGCATAATATTAATGGAAATACAATTATATGCACATTGATAAATCAATTTTTTTCAATTCTTTTTAAATGTAGCACTGAAAAAGCACTGAAACACCATCTTGCTACTGGGGTGCCCCAGGGCTCTGTTCTTGGGCCGATTCTTTTTTCATTTAAATGGGATCACTTGGAACTGTCATTAAAAAAATAAATAAATAAAAAAAAAACATTGCTTTTCACCATCTACCATCCTTACAATATACTGATGACATTCAACTCTAGCTCTCATTCCATCAGGATGACTCAATGCTACACCCATTGATCACATGTCTGTATTTCACACAAGTTTACCTGCTGATGTGTTTGGAGATGCCGGTATGAGAGCATATGGAGAAGTTTTGGGAGATGAACTCAGTGAAGTTTTGGCTGATGAGGAAGAAGAATCAGATAATGATGCTGAGGAGGAGGAGGGTGGTGGTGGTGAAGATGAATTTGGTGGAGATGAAGCTGATTTGGATAGAGATGTTGATGATGTTGGTGGAGATGATGGAGGTGTTTCTGCAGCATTTGAAAATAAAACAATTAAATCCGAAAGGATCTCACACACGTAACTTGACAAGACTTTTCTTATGGTTTCAAGAGTTTGCCCTTAGCTGATGATTGATTATAGAGCATGTTTGGCATGCTTTCCCGGGAGAGAGCCCTGAGCTCGTGAGATCCTCAAACCTGGGGTTCCCTCCCCTTGCAGGGCGAGAGCGGAGTTTGAGCTCAGGTAGGTCTCGAGAACTCCCCTGCTTGATAATGGTAAATGTAGATTATAAATAGCTATGGAGATATTATGCAGAATTCAACACTTGTCTATGATGTCGACTTAGTTTTGTCAATTTACTTATGTTACATATTTTATGGTCTGTGGGAGGAAACCGGAGAGTCCGGGGAAAACCCACACAAACACAAGGAGAACATGCAAACTCCACACAGAAATGCCAACTTGACCAGGTAAGATCTGAGCCAGTGACATTCTTGCTTTGAGGCAATGATGCTAACCATTGGGCCTGCATGCTGCCCTGACAAGGAAAGGGGAGGAGTAGGGGTGGAATGGGGGATTCTTTAAGATGAAGATGGCTAAGGTAAGATAGTCTGGTTATTTATAGTGATTTAGGAATCGTCTTATTGGTGAATCGTGCGTTAGCTAGTGAGGAACAGGAAATTAGTTTATTAATAAACCTCACAAAGCGTCATTGGCGTCATTCACACAGTTTGCTGGAACTTAGCAAAAAAGTTGTGAGCTGTTTGTGTAAGTTTGCAGAACTCAAGCCTGTGGTTTCTAAATGAATAATAAAAGCCGTTACTGGAAGAGCATCTTTAACTACGGCTTCTGAACTGAAAAAAGCAACTCACAGCAGCACTAAATACTGCATTTCTGCTTCACTGAAAACACCACACTAGAAATAAACATAGCTTGTGAAAGCCAAGATACCACAGTCTCTAAAGAATGACAAACAATGCTTCCTCTTTTCATTTATGCCTTGTAGTTTTGCTTTGTCAAACACACAGTACACTACTCCTACACAAAACATAGCCTAGCTCTTCACATCTTAGTAGAATTAGGCAACATATTATAAAACACACAGAGAGATCAGATGTGATGACAACCAACAGTCATTGGAAATATGTGCCCAGGGCTACCTTTTTTGTGAACTGTGAAATACATTGCTCCGGCGATGTGTGCTTGCAGCTTGTGTTGACAAATCTACCAGAGGCAGTTGTGTACTTTATTGTAAATCTTAAATACGCTACTGGGCTATGTTTTCTCATTCATGCTATTTACAAGTCCTTCAAATGCTTGTTATTGAGAAGCAGGACTTGCATATATCACCTTGAGATTGACTGACCCAACCCCTTCCCTAATCCCAACTAATAGTGTTTTTAAGAGCAAATGAGAACAGAGATATGCATCGTGGCTGCCTTTACCACAATTTAACATAGCTTTTTCCTGGTTTCTGGAACAATCTTTGTCTGACTCAATCCCAGTCCTCTCCATGTTTGAAGTACGACAACGAATAAGGCAAGCCACCGAGCAAACCGATGACTCTGAATAAGCTGTCTATAGAGATTATTGGCTAAGGTGAACATGTTTGACTACAGACAACTGATGACCACACTAAAACAATACTTTATCAGTCGATAATATAATATATTAATTTTCCTTTTGCTTAGTTCTATATTTGGAAGTCATATGTGCCCTTCCAGCCACAACCCATACACTTTCACATTCACACACTATGGTCAATTTAATTAATCAATTCCCCTATAGTGCATATGTTTGGACTGTGGGGGAAACCCACACCAACATGGGGAAAATATGCAAACTTCACATAGAAATGCCAACTGACCCAGCCAGGACTCAAACCAGCAACCTTCTTGCTGTGAGGTGACAGTGCTAACCACTGAGCCACCATGCCGCCCTCGGTCAATATTGCGTCCTTGCAGAGTTGTATATTTGGGTTCACCCAAACATTTAGCCGTGGTCACACATTCCTAATGAGTTTGTGTTGCATGATTAATATGAGAATCTGACCTGCATCAGTGAAGTTGATGAAGACTCGTGTGATGAAGCTCTTGTGTCCTGCAGACTGAACTCCACACCAGTATTCAGCTGAATGTTCTGGACTCTCATGACTGATGGTGGCTGTCAGGAGCTGCTCTTCTCTGTCATCATACAGCTGGATCTTTCCCTCAGCTTTTCTTCCTCCGCTCTCCTCCTCAGACCGCGTCTCTTCAGCACAGAGATCGGCTCCAGATCTCCTGCAGATGAACTTGACATCAGCGGTGTGGGATTGTGGGTATCTGCAGCTGATGTTAACGGATCCTCCTGCTGCAGCTGATAGACTGATGCTCTTCTGACAACAAGCAGCTGTTGGAGATTCAGATCAACAGTTAAAGCAGCTCACAAATGCAGCTTTTTTTAAAGAATGGTCAGGCAGAGCTAAAAAAAATTGCATTAGGAGCATCAGAGACAATACAAAAGCATAATCCATAAAGCAGGCAAAATATCAAAACATGATATAAACACTCTGCTTACAAATGGCCTGCAACACTGATAGGGGCTGCACGGTGGCGCAGTGGGTAGCACGTTCGCCTCACAGCAAGAAGGCTGCTGGTTCGAGCCTTGGCTGGGTCAGTTGGCATTTCTGTGTGGAGTTTGCATGTTCCCCCTATGTTTGCGTGGATTTCCTATAGGTGCTCTGGTTTCCGCCATAAGTCCAAAGACATGTGTATAGGTGAATTCGGTAGGCTAAATTGTCCGCAGTGTATGTGTATAAGTGAGCATGTGTGGATGTTTCCCAGTGATGGGTTATGGCTGGAAGGGCATCCGCTGCATAAAACATATGCTGGATAAGTTGCTGTTCAGTCCACTGTGGTGATTAATAAATAAATTAATGAAGGGACTAAGCCGAAAAGAAAATGAATGAATGATAAATAATGCTTCAGATGTGAGTGTGTGTGTGTGTGTGTGTCAGTGCCCAATTCCCAGATTACTATCAGCTGTGGCTGAAGTTGATAGTTGCAATGACTTATGGAAGTTATAGTTCAGCAAAATACAGGAAGTAATCTCAAGGCAACAATATATATATATAGAGAGAGAGAGAGAGAGAGAGAGAGAGAGAGAGAGAATTTTTTAATCACATCAGCTGTTTTGTGCCTATTAAGGATGTCCAAGCACACCGTCAATATCAACCATCAACGCTGTATTGTACATTATCAACAATTGATTGATCATCAATTAATTTTGACTCTGCTAGTGCTGTAGAGTGTGTTACAGGGTAAATATAACATTTGGGTGGTGATTTAAAGTAAGGCTTGTTAAGCCCTTACTTCCTCAAACCTTTCATCTTGTTCCCCTACACTTATACACAATACTGTATATGTACTGTATTATTTACAAAAGAGTACCTATTAAATTTGGTTTACTTTATCAATTGTAGAGTGTAATCTAACGTTTTACTATTAAATATGTGTAAAGTACAGTCATAACAGTCAGTGTTGAGTTTGGTGATGTTGTGGATCTTCATGAATTTGAGGATTTCAGTTACTCACCTGTGATGACCTTCAGATTCACTTCAGTGTAGATATCTGTATGGTAATGTATATCAACTCCACAGTAGTAAGTCCCAGAATCCTTCTCTGTCAGATTTATGATGGTTACAGTGAAAACTGCTGCTGTTGTGTTGTCATACAGAAAGTATTTATCCTTCTTTACCCATTTATTTTTAATCTCAGTCTTGATGAGGTCTGGCCCTGTTGGTATATACTTTCCTTTACAAAAATACTTTGAATTTGTCTTATATTGTTCATCATATTTGCATGTGATGGTGACTCCGCCTCCTGAATATCCTGTCACACTGATGGAGCTCAACACACCTACATCAAAACAACATGTCAATACAACTGCAATATATAGATTTCAAAATATCTTTAAAAGTTATTTAACCATATTCATTCAAAGTCATTTGCTCATTGTTCAATCTGTGTTGTGGTTCTTCAGTGGTGTGATTGTTGGATCAGGAGTTGATCAGACTCTTACCAGGAATCATGAGCAGAGTGAAAGTCCAGATGATCTTCATTCTTCTCTCTTATTCACTGATCTTCTGTCATTAGTAGATTCAGCTCTCCTCAAACTCTCCTGTTCAGATCAGCTTTGACTCTTTCCTTCCTGGTTGAACATGAAGAGATGAACATGACAGAGAGATGCTCACTTCCTCTGAGAAAGAGAGAAAGAGAGAGATTAATAAAGAGGAAGTAAAACTAAACACAGCAACATCTAATGGACAAATATGCAAACCAAAATATTGTGTCATAAGTGATCTTTCTAAGGTTCACATTACATATCAATCCTATTTTTAAGTCTGGGTAAAATTATATTTTCTGTAATTACACATCATATGTAAAGTCATATTAATTAATGAAAAATATTTTTTACTCCGTCTGTAACGACGGGGAGTAACACCACAACAGAAGGTAGGATCCAATATGCAGGTTTATTCACAGTCAAGCAAGCAGTGGTCAATACGGGAGCAAACAGGTGTGTGAGGACAATCCAGAATCATAGTCAGTTTAACAATCAAGAGGTCGAAAGGCAGGTGGTAGATAAGGATGGCTGACGTGAAACTGACGTTTCGACACAGTGTCGAGATCCCGAAGCGCAAGTGTTTCGAAACACTGCACCGAAGCATGATCCGAAACACCCAGGTCACGTGACTAAAGTGTTTCGAAACACTTGGTCACGTGACTAAAGCGATTCAAAGCATTGATCATTTCAGAGGCGTTTCAAGACCCGCAGAATCTGCATTTGACTGTCATGATCAAGTTGTCAACTGTGTCTTGTATGGCTTAGTGGACCGTGCATGCGCACTACAGTACTGTGTTTTAAATTTGTTTTGGGTTCGAATCCCGACTAGTCCAAATACTCCAAAATCATGATTTTATATATTTTAATCATGTTTCTGTTTTATGGTGTAGTCTAGATAGGATACAGCTGCGGATATGCCATCAATTTAGCATCATTTTTGTAACACCGTAAAACAATAATTCATATTTTTACAGTACTGTGATGGGTTTAGGCTTTGGATAGACGTTAATAAAATACAATGGGAAATTTAATTAATAATATAAGTAATTATTGTTAACTTCTGGCCACAACTGTATCTGATCTAGCAACAACCCTGTTTTATGAACAAAACAACCCAAATTTATTTACAAGGTGTTTATTCGTATGTCAGAGCAATGTTGAAACAAAATGACACAATAACAAAGCATTACCAACTGGTGTTAAAGCATTTCAAAATAACTGTTTCAGTCTGGATTCGAACCCATTATTCCCACATGGCGGTCACGAACTCTTACCGCTAAACTAAACCATTTGCAGATTCAAGGCTACAAAGTGGGATTTCATACCCTAATTTGCTCAACTGTTCTTTGCTAAAGCTGTTTCAGTGAAATACAAATAAAATGACCACTAGGTGTCACCATAGAGTGGTGTTTCAAAACGTTTCGAAGCTTCGACACATTTGCTTCGATAGTTTCAGTGTTTCACGAAGCCTCGCTTTGCCCACCACTAGTGGTAGACAAGGATAACTAAATAAACAAGGCTACGTTCAAAACACAGGAAAACAAGACAAGGAAACCGCGTTGTAATGCTACTTTACAGTGAACAAGACTCGGCAAACTGAAGGGGTGAATGTGTGGCTTAAATAGTGTGTGTTAATCAGTATCTGAAAGTCCTCAGGTGTGCAAATGTAATCAAGCTGGATGAGTGAGCAGGCGTGAGTGTCTAGGAGAAGTGCATGTATGCATATGTAGTCCAGAAGAAGGCAGATGTGTAGTTTCATGAGTGAGTGTTTACCAGCGACATCTGGTGGTTGTTCGCTGGTAAACATGACACCGTCAGATAAGCCTTCAGTCTTTCCTTCCCATCAAGAGAAACACAAAACCCTGCACATCAAAACAAAAGAGACACAAATGAATAATAAATTAAGTGTGAACTTTCACATTTGGCCAGTTAGCAGGAAAATGTATTCAAAGTTATGTATAAATGAGAACGATATCAAGCAATTCATTGTAATAAAAGAAGTGCTACTAATACAAGTTTGTGGCTATGTTAGAAACATAAAAGCAAGAGTAAGAAGGAATTAACGAAATAAGAAGCAGATGTTTTTTTATTGATAGTCAGAAGAGGCAAGGCTTTAGCTGCCCAGGGGTTCAGCAGTTTTTATTTGATTCTGAATATCTTTCCACCAAAGAGGAACAGTGAATGACAAGGTTGTGGAAAGTAATTTAAAGTCTTTCTGTGATGAAATGGTGCTCACTTACCAGTTGAAGGCTCCTGGAGGAGATTTGAAAAAGCAAATGGCAGAGTCTGTGGCTGTTCAGTATATAAGCATCAATAATTTCAGCTTAACATGAGCTTCAATCAGTAGCCAGTGCAGAAAGATAAAGAGAGATGAGACATGGGCTCATTGAAAACCAGTTGTGCTGCTTCATTTTGGATAATGCAAAGATGTTCCACAGCACATGATGGACATCCAGTAAGAGCATTACAGAAGTCTAGTCTACAATTCACACATTTGGAGTTGAAGGTGTGCAGTGATTGTAGCTCTGCACAGTCATACAATTATCACAATACAATATAAATCATAAAGCACACGGATGGATTGAATCCAAAGAATTCAATGTGAGCCCAATTTACAGATATTTCTATATTTAATCATTTCTTTTTGTATGAGGTCAATCAGTGTCCTGTTAAGGTACAAAACCCCTTTCAGCAGGAAGTTCTGGTCATTCTTCTAGTGGTCAGAAGAAGTTCAGCACCACGGCCAGCGGCTATTCTTTACACATGCTTACAACACACACACACACACACACGTTTGTTTTTGTGAATTGTTGGGTCATTACACAGGTTTCCACTGTTTAATACTGTACAAACTGTATTTTGTAATGGCCTACCCATAAACCCAACCTTCACAGGAACTGTGCAGTTCATTCATTAATTTTCCTTTGGCTTAGTCCCTTTATTAAACAGGGGTAGCCACAGCGTAATGAGCCGGCAACTTCTCCAGCATATGTTTTACGCAGTGCATGCCCTTCCAACCACAACTCAACACTGGGAAACACCTATACACTCTTGCATTCACACTCATACACTACGGCCAATGTAGTTCATCAATTCACCTATAGCGCATTTGTTTGGACTGTGGGGGAAACCGCAGCACCTGGAGGAAACCCATGCTAACATGGGGGGAATATGCAAACTCCACACAAACATGCCAACTAACCTAGCCAGGACTTGAACTACACTGTTAGACATTTCAAAGGGTTTTTACAGTAACTTACTGGCAACACTGTTGCCAGTAAGTTACTGTATTTTCGATTTACAGTATACAACTGTAAATCCGTTTACAGCATGTTACCGTAGTGTCTGAAAATGGTTAACTACTGTAAAAACCTAAGTTAACAGTTAGCTACTGTAAACCTTTTAATTTTGTCCTAAATATTTTATAATATAATTTTATTAATATTATTTTAATACTATAGACCTAAAAAAGACACAATTACAAAATATTAACAAAATAAACACTCTTTATTTAAAACATTGGAGATGCTTAACCCAAGCTTAAAAATGTGTAAAAACATTACATTTCAATCATTCAAAATATTTTATTTTAAGAAAAAAAACATTGAAAATGACAAAGCACATTAACATACATGTACAAAACTAATTTAAGTGTCTGACCTGCATATTGTTGAGAGAAAAAAAAACCCAATTGTACTAAGTACTACTGACATTAAACCAGACACAATTACAAAATATTCCATTCTTTAAAATATTAATAATGCTTAAAGCATTTAAGGAAAATGTGTGAAAATTACATTAAGCATTAAAATCAACAGATTAAAAATAAATAAATTACACAAAGCACTAGAACATACATGTACATTAATAATTTAAATGTCTGAATTGCATATTGTTGGAAAAATAAATATTTGTAACTATTAGCCGACTCAGAAACAACCCAACTTTAAAATATTACTAATTCTGGTGTCAAATGCTCAACAAGGTCTGAATTCACATGTTCAAATGCAATTCATCTTTATTTCTATTGCACTTTTACAATGTAGATCAATGATGTCAAAGCAGCTTAACATAGAAGTTCTTGTAAATTGAAGCTGCTTCAGTCCAGTTTTCAGAATTGAAGCAGTAAATGTCACTGCTGAAAGTCCAAACACTGAAAAGCAAATCCACCGATCCACCAATCGTAGCCAAGCGATCCAGTAGCGACAGTGGCATGGAACAAACTTCACCAACTGACGAAAGTGTAGAATAAAATCCCTTGAGAGATACCAGGCTCAGTTGGGCACGACCAGTTCTCCTCTAGCCAAACTTGTGCAAGGCCGCAGTCTAGGCACCGGAGGCTTGAAAGGTCACCAGCGGGTGGTGAGGCTGGCCCATTGGATCAATGCGGAAACTCATTGATCACGTGTGTCTTTTAGGATTCACTCCTCCATGACCACCACAGCATCTGGTCAGGATTTGGCCCAGTCCAGGATTATGGATAAGGACAAACAGACTAACATAAGCATAGAAGAAGCTTGTTTAAAAAAATAATAAATCATATACTGGTTAATTATTTTGAAGCATGGCAGCTGGGTTGGGCTAGTTTTCAGCTGGTACTGAGCAACTGGCTCCTGCTCATAACCTGCTCACTACCATGTTTAAAAGAGAACTAACCAGAATGTCCTGTTTATTTTTTTCCCTAACAAGGTTTTACAAAAACATTGTAGCATTTGTGATGGGTTGATTCACTGCAGGACAGATTAGACTATTTGTTTTATGTATTCCTAATAAACTAAAACTGACTGAATACTGATACAACTATTGAGAGTGTCTTACCTAATCCAAGTTCTCAGTTAGCTGGTGAAAGAAGGATAACTCACTGTTGTTCATGGTTGTCATTCTCTTCACTACTTCTCCTGCTATCTTCTGGCTCACTCTGGTTGTTGCTGTGCATTTTGTTTCATCCTCTGGAATTATTTATACAAAAATTTTTATTATTTTATTTATTACAAA